ATCGCTCCTTCCATGGAGCGAATGCTTGACTTCGCGCTCCCGTCGTGATTGGCTATACCCCTGTTCTAAATGATTGGCTCGGGACGCTCCCTCGCGCCCCCACCAGATTTCTGCATACGGCCATATTCGTGACACCAGCTCTCTGTTGCTCCCACCGGGCTTGCCAGGCTAGCTCCACCACTTCGTCAGTGCTCAACTTTTTGTTCTTCTTTTCTCCTACTTCCCATCTCTGGTTGGCCCACTGGCTCACTATAACAGTGACCTGTTCAATAGTCGTTGGGCCCTGTGGGCCATGCCTAGGGCGTCTGCCCTGGGCCCCTTTTCTTCCTTCTGAACCTGTGGTAGGTCCTGTTGCAAGCCTCTGTGATCAAGTGCCATGCAGTAGTCCTTTCCTTTCCTGGCCCAGCCCTTATTTGCAGGGACTTCTTACGTAGCCGTTCCTCAAGTCAGCCCAATCGTTTGTTGAGGTAGAGGTCCAGCGGTAGCACCCAGGCCTCTGTTTCGAAGCCCCTAGTAGGGGCCGTTTTATAGGCCCCTACTACTACTCGAAGGCTTCTCTTCTGAACTTTCGACAGGGAGTAGACAATATATACCTCCTTCTCCCATTGTCTTTAGGGAGCGCTAGGAGTAGAGGTCGCTCCTGTCGCTCATAGATAGAGCAAAGACAGGACTTCGCGCTCCCTTTATAATTGGCTACCTATATCCTAATTAGTTAGCTCGGGACGCTTTCCTCATGCCCCTCCAGGTTCCTATATACAGCTATATCCGTGATACGATACCCCCTCTCGATGTCCTTTATACTTGAAAGTCCTAACAGTAATCTACCTTCCTGTAGATATTGCTAATATCCCTTACCCTTAAGTATATTCCATTTCCTATTATTTTCCCTATTATTTTCCCTATTATACCGTTACGGTGGATGCTAATAAAATGTCGAGTCGTATGAAGAAATCAATACCGAAACCAAAGTCAAAACCGCGGAACGCCTCATCCCCGTCGAAGCAATCCTTTACACTTCATAGTTAAATCCTCTTGTCCTTAAATATAAAGCTCCTCCTAATACTCCATTGTCCTCGTGGAACATATTTGTAATCATTATTCTTACGACGTCCAGGGCGTAATAATATACCAACTCTAACTTATCGCGGCCTAATATGGCAGGCTGGACGACGAGATAGCCGCTACCAAAGCGGAGCATACAGCCTTAGACGGCAAGATTAATGGGTTGCAACTTTAAAGACGAATATAGTCGGAGAACATATCGTAGGCAATTATATAGGGTATCGACAATATAGAGGAGTTAGAGCGGGTTGAGGGTAAGGAAGTAGAAGCGTTAGCGGCCTTGAAGGCCTCGACTAATCCTCCTATATCCCCGACTACCCCTCCTCGGCTATTACTATCATTCATGCTATTAAAGGATTCTATTTATCCTAAGGTTCCACTAGAACCATCCTTATTGGCTAATTTCAGGTTATCTATAGTGGTCCACTGTGTTTAGTCGGTTAGGGTTCCTCTAGTGGAGCTCCTTTAACTTTCTTAGGGTAGTAGTGGTTTGTAGTAGGTCGCTACAAGTTTTCTTCAGGTCTAAAATCGAGCTATTTCACGAGACACTCGAGTTAATTATGTAATATATAGACCTGGAATATCTTGGACGTCGTAGTGTGGTATGGGTTTTTCAACAGGTTGGGCAACTAATACAGTTTTCCTGTACAGTGATTATCAGATGGACCGGCACGCCTAGCGCCTTAGGCATAGCGGTGTAGGAACAATAATATATAAGTCGTATCTAATGAGATGCTAGTTCTAAATGGGAAATATAGAGAAAATTCGTTCTTAGCCTTATCGTGGCTAGTAATGATAGTCGATAGTTAGATATCGAAATTCATTTGTGGATCTTAAATGGTCTAATCTTCCTAAAAGTCGAGCTTCCTGCTTGATTGTTTTATGCAAGGATTCTGCAAAATGTGATAGCCTTTGTCTCCCTTCTCAAGGCGAGGTCTCTCGACCTATGTTTATTATAGAATCGTTTCATTCTAGCTCTAATAAAAGCTAAGTTCTTCCTTGTGCATCATACATGACGTATATATCTGGTCTGCCTTGACCTTTGCCCTAGGAACCAATTCTTTGAGTCCCTAGTGTAAATCTGCTTTATGGCTGTGATTTGCGAAGAACGGTGTTACCTTCGTGGTCTCCGTTGATATTATATTATATATAAGTTACCCGAAGAAGATAAAGGTTACGGTTCTAGAGTAGCCCTACGCAATTAGGAAGAGGCTAGGAGGGCCTGTGACAACGGAGTGGCTTGGAGGTCTCGAGACTGGGACTGCGAGCTATATTGGGCCGTCTTAGACCCTACCTAATGCTTCAAATGCTGGAAATAGGGTCATATTTAGCGGCATTGCCCGCTGAAAGAGGCTCTATGCCCAGGATGCGGAACTAAAGCTCACGGCGAAGGCGGGAAGGTTGGGAATCCCTATGCCCCCCATAGTGGTCGATCACCCTACAAGGTGCCCTACCTGTGAAGGACCCTACACAGCCTTGTCTAGGGCCTGCCCACAGGGGGCCAAGGCTAGGGAGGAGCCAAAGAGGCCTACCCACACCGACCAAGGACTTTTGAGGCTGCAGCTAGGCCAGCTGGCCCAACTTTCACATTCGTGGCTAGCCAAGCTACACTGGCGGCACGGGAAGACGACGGATTCCAAGAGATGACTGGGAAAAGGAAAAGAGGGAGGACCAATATATATAGAAGTAGCCGGCTGGGACCCTCGTCAGGCCCGACTAGCTACAGTGCCCTCTAGCCTACCGTCTAGCCTTCCAACCAGCCAATCAAACCTAGACCAGACCATCCAAGCTGTCACGGCGGGACAGGCGGACAATCCAATGACTATCGTATTCGGGCCAAGCTACAGTCTAGGCTCTATTCCGTCAGGTACGGGCAGGCTTGATTGTCAAGACGTAGCTCAAGGAGCTACGAACAGAACTCGCGGCAGCGAGGTACAGGATCTTCAATTGGAACGTCGAAGGCAACCGGCAATTGCTACAGATCTACTCGAGGAGGCAGAATACAATATCCTAGCGATATAAGAGCCTGGATCAACCGGCAAACCAAATCAGCCTACTGCCCCAGGAGTTGCAAGTACCACCTAGTCCACTCGCCACAGGGCCGAACAGCGCTCTATATAACCAAGGGCCTCCTACCAAGCCTCTAGAACTACAAGGCTATAGATAAGTGGTGCTGGGCTCGGCTTATAGGCTCTGATCCGGGCCTAGAGGTCTTGTCAATTTATAACCCTCCAGATTTAAAGGAGGTCCCAGGGGCCCTCCTTAGAAAGCCTAAACCGAGCCTACCTACTGTTCTTGCGGGCAACTTCAACCTACACCACCCACTGTGGACTACTATAGCCGGGAGGAACAATAAGCTGAGGACCTACTACAGCTAGCCCCATAGTGGGACCTCGATCTTCGGACCCCCTGGAGCACCACAACCAGGGAACCACAGGGGGCCCAGAGAGGTAGACCCTCAACCATTGACCATTGTTGGCCTCTAAAGGCCTACGAACGACCTACTACGGCAACCAGGAGCGGGGCAAATCAGATCACAACCCATAAGTCCTCGAAGTTGACCAAACGCCCCAGAAAAAAGCCCCAGCACCTCAAGGCTGATGCTGGGCCAAGATAGATAGGAGGAGGGTAGAAGCCGAGGCAGCCCTTCTGCCAAGGGCTATAGGCCTTGCCGACCAAGGCCCATAAGGGCTGTTAGCCAGGGCGCCGATAATAGAGGGCCTATTAAAGGCTTTTGACTGGTTAGTAGGCCAACTTCAGAGAACTGCAAAGGCCAGAACCGCTACATAAAAGCCAAACAGGGGTTCCAAGCCCACTGGTGGACCCAGAAGGTCCAATAAGCTACTTGAAAGGCTAGAAGGCCGAAAGGGCCTATAAACAGGCACAAGGGGACTTTCTCAAACGAAGGCTCAACCAGAGCCTCTATACATAGTCAGCGACCATACGGCTAGCCCAGACAAGGTCTTAGAGGTCTACTCTACAGAAGGCTACGGCAAATTCCAGCCTTCTATGGAAGTTGGAAAGATGGGCACGTATAAAGAGCTTCCTACCTACCGAGCCACCGAGACTGCTACCACTCTATGGAGTCCCTGGCCAACCAGATGTCACGACCTACAGATAGAAGCCGAGGCCCTTGCAGCCGGGTTCTTCCCAAACCCACCAGCCAACCTTAGCGATATGCTTGATACTACCTTCGACTAAGCCTTCGACCAACCATAGTTCGAGGTCCGGAAAGAGGTTACTATTAGAGATATATTATTGTTCCTACACCGCTATGCCTAAGACGTTAGGCGTGCCGATCCGTCTGATGATTATTGTACAGGAAAACCATATTGGTTGCCCACCCGGTTGAAGAACCCATACCACACTCTCAGGTCGGCGCTTGGGATTTCCACATACTACGGGTGAAAGGAGGCAGCCCCAGGCTACACTCCCTGCATTCCCATATCCAGGTCGCCAGCCGAAGCCAGCGCCCCAGTGGCCGTAGCTCCCGGGGCTGTAACCTCGGGAGCTGCAGGCTACACCGTTCTATCCCTCACCGCGAAGGTCAGCTTTCCCTGCGTCAGACTCCTGGCAGCTTGCTCCTGCGTAACGATAAAGGCGGGGGGTCGTTCCCGCGGCCGTTTCCTTGTGACCTCTTGGAATTCTTCCTCCTCTACGAGAGGGTTACCTCGAAAGGTAACGTTCCGCATTCTCGGTAGTGGTTGTTGTTCCTCCTATTATCGTTGTTGTCATTGAGCAAGCTCGAAAGTCCTCGGCCGGAAATGGTATGCCTCCCTCGCTACACCCTGGGCTTTGACTGTATCCGGGCACCACCGTGCCCAGGCCGGGTGCCTCCCTGTGCAATTTGAATAGCGTAATGAAATCTCGTTGATATAGGTAGGGCACTAGGCCTCCCCTGCCCCTCCGCCCTCCCTGTGAGCTGCTATGCTACACCGGGGGCACAGCGATGACTTCTTCCAGAACCGCTGGGTATGTCCCTACTCCTATCATCGGTAGCATCAGGTTGCCTAGAGAGCAGCCTAGTACGGCTCGCAATCTAGAATCTAGGCACGCCTAACCACCCTGCCCTCGCAGGCCCTCCTCGCCTCTTCCTGGCTAGTCAGAGTGACTAGTGCCATTGCTCTCATCACTCCCGCGATCGTCGGGATCCGGAACTTGACCTTATCGACCGTCGTCAGGCCTACCTGTTTGCCGAAGTCCTCCTTAGTAACATCCTTTAGCTCTCTCTTCAACATTCCTTTTATAAGGACTACAAACGTCCTCTTTACTTTGCCGATTCACCGAAGGCCGCTCCAATCCACCTTCCATTTGCTAAGTGCTAGTTCTTCGTTTCAATGTCCGGAGACGTAACGATAACGTCACCGTTAGGAAGCTTCCACGCCGCAATTGCTCCCTTCTTTGTCGACGCCCTGGGATTCTCTCCGTAGGGAGTTCCGTCTCTCCTGCAGCGACGGCGGCCTAGGACCGAGCCCGAGCCGTTGTTGCTACCGGAGCCGCCGGAGCCCCTCCTTTCTCTTGGACCTCCCTTCGCACTTCCTGGACCTCCTTGCGGACTTCCTCTACAGCCCTCGCCACCTTCTCCTCGACTACCTTCGCTATAGCCTCTAAGACAATTTTCCGAAGCGCTGTCGGGTCGACCTGGTTGTTGTCGTTCTTCTCCCTCTCCTTTTCTACCTTCTGACGCAGCTGTTATAGCCGCGTTATGAATGCGTCAGCCACCGCGTAAGCAATGGCCTGTTTCTCCTTCGGTGCGAGCTGTATGATCATCGCCGCGAGAGTATCGTCTGATTTATCGTATATAGGGTTTGGACCATTACCAAACTCGCCGCCATCTTCATCGTTGTCTGTCTCGTCGCTGTCCATCTCGTCGTCGTTGTCGGCCAGTCTGATTGGTTGGCTTCCTCCAGGGGGGTGGGGCAGGCCCGCCCGCGCAGGATTTTGCACCTCCGGCTGCGGTCTCTCACGCCATTCCTGGAGCCATCGCAGCTAAGCGCGGCAGGTCCCGCGATGGGAAAACCATGGTCGGGGAATAAAGCTTTTCAAGCTCGATCAAATTATGGTGTTTTCAGGCATTTTGCTGCTTTATTGGCTCGCTACCCTTCTATACATTTCGCTTTAAACGCTAGGTATGCTCGATATTTATCCAGGATCTACCCTATGTTATTGCCTTTGGTCGTACCTTTATAGTACAGAGATTTATCATTTCTGGTAGTGGTAAATACCACCTTAAATCCAATGATCTATTCGTGGAGTTCAAGTGTCCTACTCCTCTATCATAATAAAAGCTACTTCCTTGCTCGTTCGTCTATTCTAGTTATATCGTCTAATACTTCTTCTAGTTCTCATCGTAGTCTCCCCGCTACTACTCGCTTTCTATAGTAGGCCCATAGGTAGCACGTCGTCGTATATACCGCCGAGAGGTAGCTCCTCTTTTATATATTCTCCTATCAAGTCGGTCGGATATGACGGAGTATCTCTCAGTTATAGGTAGCTACCTCCCTTCCAACTAATATCATGGTTATAATCCTCGTGCTATAGGCGCATAAGAATTATATCCTTCCTTAGCCCTATATCCACGATATTAAACACCACCTAAGTGGTTTTTCTTTCTACATCAATATCAAGTGGTTAAGTCTCTCGTTAAACCTATTATATTACAACGATCCGTTAATAATAAATATTTCTTCCTGAATTTTTATAGAATCCGTAGTTGATTGACGAATATTGGTAAGGTAGGTCGAGCTACGATTCTCTATCTACTAGCCCTAGAGCCTGGAATCCATTCTAATATAAAGTGACCTAGGGCCTATTATCTAGTCGTTCGTTTAAAATAGCAGCTACTTCGTATTTGCCCGCTGGCGAGGTCGTAATAAGCCTATCGTCTATGCCAGTTCTTCCTACACCATATAGCTTGCGCTTCTGATATATTGTTAAGCGTCGATAGGTCCCTTCGAGTACCCTAAGCTGTTTCCCAACTCCATCCTAAGTGTTAGAGAGGTATTCCCCTCGAACTCTACGTCGTCTAGATCTAGCGCGCGATGCTCTTAGAGCTATTGTTGTTTACTCTCTTATTGCTATTGAGAGTTTAATACCTCCTCTTCTAGATCTTAAGGCGAGGAGCGTTCTCTGGTCGGGTCTGAACATAATCTTTCTATATTGGTGATAGTCGATCGGTGTCTTTCCTAGAGATAGGTGCAAAGTCTCCGCCTATCCCTTTTTCTTCTACTCATCAGGTGGTTTGCCGATATTAATATACTGTTTCTACTAGTATTCTTCTTATAAGAGTAGTGCTTCGCCCTTCATGTAGGTATACTCCTATACGTTATTATGGTTGAAGTTTAGGATCCGAACTTCATATAGGTCTATATCGCCCTAGTGCTCAATTGTTGGTCCGTCGAAGCGTTGGTTATTGACGCTTAAGGCCTATCTAAGTAAAAACGCTGCTTTCTAATAATAGTCCATTCGCTACTCGAGGTCGTGAAGTCGCCCGTCGAGTTTGGTGTCCTCCTTACGTAGCTGAATGACGCGTTTCTATAGATAGGCGACGTCTAGTCCCTCACGTTCGCCGATATGTCGGGTCCTCTACTGACCATTATTATCTTCGGTTCGGGTAAGCCCCTATAGTCGACCTATTTAAGCGCTTAGCCGGGCGGCGAGACTTCGCCCTTGTCGTCGGTTTCTAGATTCCTATCTTTAGTGCTTACCCCAGTGTCGTCGAATACCCGTTTATAGGCATCAGCTTACTCAACATCGTAGTTAGAATTTGTCCTATATATAGCTAGCGGCTGCTACTTCTACGATTCTAGTATATTTATTGATGGTGGCTATTTACTCTCCTAAAACCGGTTTCTATTCTTTCTCAGCGCTATAGCAATTGTGTTTAAAGTATCCCTTCTTACTATAATTAAAGTAAGTGACACCTACATTATCCCTAGCGGTACCCCTCCTTCCTCCCTTCTAGGTCTAGGGAGCATCTACGTCCATCGCTCCTAGATACGTGCCATAGGTCATGCTCTTACACTGGCGCTTCCGCTTATTATTCGCCTAGTACGTACTCCTCCCTTACCCTACGCTATTACTTACATACGTATAGGCGGTCATCGATCCAAACCGCCATTGCTATATATCTATCAAGGGTATCCGGCCCATCTCTTATATAATTTCGTCCTTAACTGTATCTTTAAAACCATTATAGAACAACTAACGTACATGATAAGCGAGCGGAACAAATAAGCGAGCGGAACACTTTCTACTATACTACGAACATCATCTTCAATTACAGCACAACAAAACTAGAAAGCAACCACTATTACATTGGAAATGGACGAATAAGATGATTCTACAGCCTCTTGGCAAGTACGTGCATTATAGCCAGGCTTGCCGCATACACCACAGCACCGAGCCTTCGAACGAGCCTCTCTTACACCACAACTATCCGGCTGCGCTTCTTGCCCTACCTCCCCAACTCCAGCCCTCTGATCTAGTAGATCATTAGCATCCTGCACCGTAAGTGATCCTCCAAGCTGCATACGTGTTTTCTTAGCTCTGCGGCGCTTGCTTAGTGCCTCGTTGGCCCTACAGAGCGAAGAGACCTCTGCCTGAAGGAGAGACACTTGGTGCATCACAGCTATTATACTCTTGGTCAGCTGGTCCACAGCGGCCAACATTGAAATCGGGTAGCTATTTTGATGGTTGGTAATGCGAGTCTTGATGAGCCTTGACTGCGACTCTGCTTCTCGGGGGTTGTATGGTTTCTGGAAGACCTAAGGTTAGGTAGTGCTAGGCGGTGAGTTCAGGGGTGCTGGCGTACGAAGCCGCATATCCAGCTTGGAGAGTACCCTCTCTAAATTGTAAGGCATAAGTCTAGCACCTGTAAAGCCACCCTACATATTCTTCTCCGTCGTAGAGGCAAAGAAGGCCTCGCGGAAGGCATAGAGGAACTCGAGCTTGCTTACGTGGTTGATATACATGCGCATTAAGTGCTCGATCTAGCGACTATACGCCTGCTTCAGTGGGCTAAAGCAGCCAACATTGAGTAGCTGGAGGTAGTGTGAGGAATATAGAGGTTATAGAGCATGATGATATCGCGCTCCTGGCAATAGAGCTCGAATTCGGTCGTATAGTGGCTTTCGTGACCATCGAGGATTAACCACCGGTATTTGCCCATATAAAAGTCAAAGTGCTTGACCTAATCGTGGCCCATGGCATTGGTAGTCCAGCCATTGTCGGTAATCGCAATACGCCAGTCGGCCGGGAGGTTGCACTCGGTATACCAGTTGGCGAGGTAGTGCTACGCGGCTAAGATGATGAACAGAGGGATGGCTCAGCCGAGGGCATCAACTCCCTGGATTACCGTTGCCAATTCGCGGTTACCAGGTTGGGCCAGCTTTGCCTTTAGTACGACCATTCGAGGTTGTAACTACTATGCCCGCGAAGATGCCCATTATAAACCCAGTCTCGTCGAAGTTATAGATATCGTCATCTACAATCCTATACTTGGCCTTGAGATTCTATAAAAGGTTAAACCATTCGCCAATAACCCTTTGATCCTCACATTTTGCCCTCTAGTAGTCGTACCCACGCGCATAGCGCGTACGGAGCTCTAGCTGGCGTTCAACGAAGTTATATACCCAGCGTTTACCGATAGGGGGCACGTCGGGTTCGCGTAGCAGATGGTTGGCCATTTCTTCCACACCACTTAGTCTAGGTAGGAATACGCCTGTAGATAGCTCAATCATATATTGAACTATTGCCGTTTCTTCTAGATCTGCAAGCTTACGAGAGTTGGCCGGAATATCGCGTCGTACAGGTCAGCCAGCGCGTCGGTAAGACAGTGTTGAAATCGGCACATTATAGAGCTTGGCTACAGCTCGTAGGTTTAGTTTCTTAGTCGTTTTGAAGGGCTTCGAGGGCCAAGGCTACCCTGCTTTCCTTTAAAGTAGGAGGCATGTTGAGTTGTTGAGAGAATCCGTGCTGAAGATCGAGGTGGCATATCGCGTGGAAACGTGTTCCGCTCGCTTATCATGTACGTTATATCAACCCTCTGTCGTTAATCTTGTAATATAGCGAGTCCTATTGAACTAGGTAGCGTAGGCCGCTACTAAGTTGGTCTATCAGAGTCATATAAGCCGCTACTAGATATGCAATTTCTTGTCGCGGTTTTTAAACATCTTATAGATTTCTTCCTCGAATTTAGCGTAACTAGCAAACACCTCCTAAGTGAACTTATCCTGCTTATCTTATCATTTATATACTTCAGGTAGTCGTCCAAGGTTAGTTCAAACTATCCAATGGCCTTATCTTCAAGTCAGAAGGCTATATAGTCAACTTTCTAGGCTTCGTTGACAATCGCTCTATATACTAGAAGAAGTAGGCTCTAATCTAACGAGCTATGTAGCGAGCTCATCCTTGGATCCTCTATACTCAGGAGGTGCCTCTATCTTAGCTTTAGCGGTTTGTCCGCGGAGATAGGCGAGCTCTCGTTTGAGCTGGACGTTGCGGGTATTAGCCTGCTCAAGTACCTGAGCAGTCACCGTGGTATCTCCGGCGGTCTAAGCCTAGAGAGCGGGAGTAGTCGGAGTGTTAGGTGCCATAACAATTAGGAATCTTCTGTTAAGTCTATAACAGAACTAAAGGGAGTAAGCAATGTATAACAAATCTCGAAACCCCGACTTCTGAAAGGGACTCTAAAAGGTTATAGCTTATTAACGGGGTAAAGTTCGGTGAATCTAAAAGGTTTATAACAATTTTTTATAAGCAAATGTCTCAACAATGGGCGTAGCTAACTGCTTAAATTACTTACTGAGGAAGGTACCGTGCTACCTATAGGCCTAAATATCGTAGACTATATACATCTCCTTCTCCCATTATCTTGGGGAGCAATAGGAGCGGAGGTCGCTCCTATTGCTCCCAGATGGAGCGAAGACAGGACTTCGCGCTCCCTTCGTGATTGGCTATACCCATGTCCTAAATGATTGGCTCGGGACGCTCCCTTCGCGCCCCTCCGGGTCTGCATACGGATATATCCGTGACACTAAGGCCTAGCTTTAAGATAGGACAGCTAT